AGAGGTCCTCCTCCACACTGCATCAACAACAGACACCTTAATGCTGGCCAAATGGCGACGCGTTCACATATACAGATGAGTCCGTTTTTAAGGAGATCATGTCTCATCACTACCCTCAGATGATGTGAAATGTCAGGCAGTGCAGCTGCTCATTTATATTGTGTTTTAAGGCTCTGAAGAGCTGAGGAGAGCATGTAGGTGCCAAAAGGGGAAGGAGGTAGCAGAATAGTACAGCACATGGAGTCGTGGATGTGGACAAAAGGGTCACCAGTTCAAACAATGCATATGGGTGCTTTCTTTGAACCTCACAATTAAATGGCTTATAGAACAGCAGCTACAGACAAACAGCATTGTGAAATAAAAGACAGCAACAAGCAAAATGTCACTACGAATTATATAACACCTAATTAACATATACTGGCAAACAAACTGCACTGAAATTGCCACTGACAAACAAGCAACAGTGGGAATCAAATAACACCTAATAAACAGACACTGGCAAATGAACAGCAGTGAAATTAAATACCACTGACAAACATCATCGGGAATCAAACAACACCTACAAAACAGACACTGGCAGATGAACAACAGTGAAATGAAATACCAGCAACAAATTAACACCATTGGGAGTCAAATAGCACCTAATAAACAGACACTGGCAAACGAACAGCAGTGAAATTAAATACCACTGACGAACAAACATCATTGGGAACCAGACAACACCTACTAAACAGACACTGGCAAATGAACAGCACTGAATTTTAATACCAGCAACAACCATCACTGAGAATCAACAGCACGGACAAAAAACTGCACAATACATAGCACTGTAATTAAAACACTGGCAAGCAGGCCGAGCTGACGATGATACCTCCTGTTGCTGGGACGTCGCCGAACACACGCTGCCATCTAATGCTCGTATCCAGAGCTGCAGAGACCACGTGGGAGGCGAGCTAGATGGCCTGGCGGCGTTTGCTCGTTTACCGATGTGGGTACTAGACAGGAAATGCACAAGACCTTCTCTGGCAAGTCTTGACCTTACTGGCCAATCTCTCCCTCGTACCAGCAGACCAGAGCTGAAGTCTCACCACAAATCCATCTCAGGACACTTTCTGCTTTTCACCACATTACTTATAAATAAAGTAACTTAATACAACCATGAGTATCACAGTCTTTGGTCTTAAATGTCTGCTTAATGTTCTGCTTTCTGCAGAAGATGCTTCAGTTAAAGAATAATAATAATAAAAACTTTTGTCAGAAATCTGTACAATCAAACACACACCTCCTTCCTTAGCTGGGCTTACATAACTCTCAGTATATAACCTGCCACCCCAAAAAGGCACGTCTTATCGCGCAGGTCTGTGTTTCATGGGAAAAACATGGTTACTGAGGTAATGTCAAAATGTAAACTTTTTTAGAAATTCTTGTGTACTCTGGTAATCTGCAGGATCATTGTAGAAACTTGTGTAAAAAGCTGTAGGACAGTGATTCTCCACAATGCCATGATTAAATGTATATTAGAATAGTGGTCCTACACAATGCCTGATTAAGTGTTCACTCAGAATAGTGGTCCTACACAATGCCTGATTAAATGTTCACTCAGAATAGTGGTCCTACACAATGCTTGATTAAATGTTCACTCAGAATATGAGTGCAAACATGTAAAGCCAAAAAACAACATTTAAACTATCTATGTGGCTATTAATAAAATGAATAATAGAAATGAAGATAAATAATGAACCCAGTGAACCCATACAAACGGTTAAATGGACTGTATTTAATCAGTAGTCCCTCTAGACTCTTACTACAAATCTAATACCACTGGCAATTTTCTTCCAAGGTCACACATTCAGTACAATGCCGACTAAGCTAGCTGCACACTGATATTGACACAAGGTCATCTGTTTACACAGATTAACTCAGTTGTGACTGTTAATCCACTGACACAGGCTAACGCACAGACTCAGGCTTACCCAGTCTTGTCCATTACAGACAGCTCATACACACAAAGATAAAAATTATATATACAGCATGGCTGGGCACGTTTTGGATTCTATATTATCACCCCCTGCATGCTGATACACGCAGCATAGCATAAATGCTAGACTCTAGATACAGAGGGACTTTGAGACTATGGTTAAAGGCCAAAGGTCAGGTCTGGTACGACATCCCTCAGCTCAGTCATCCAGACGCTTCTCAATGCGGTGATGTGTAGCTGAGCCCTGGCCAGGCGAAGGTCCAGACACGCTGTCATGTCAACAGAACCCAGAAATTCTGCCGATTCACACGATCTATCGCAGGAGGAGAGGACACCCAGTTCCCCATCTGCTGCCTTGCCCCCCGCCCGCCCCCACGCCCAAGGCCTGCCCCAGAGAAGCTCCTGGCCCAGTTGGCACGTTACTCCCAAGATGTCCGCTGGATAATGGGACAGATAATGGCCCCAGATGATGCATTAAGAGCTTCGTGGCTGATGTCCCAGTGGAATTCTGGGTCCTTAAACAGAAGGTGAGCCAGTGACCTCACCCCCTCCCCTCCAGAGGGGCGGGGGGGGGGGGGACACTCACAAACCACCCAACGCACACACAGCACAGGGTCTAAAATCAAGGGCTGCACTTAGGTAAAAAAGCACTGTACGGAATATGTGATGGTGCGAGAACCAGACTCCAGATACAAAAGCATCACTTGATCTTCAACCCAAGTGACTTTTATTGTCATTTTGACCATATACAGTGATACAGTGCATAGTGAAATGAGACAGCGTTCCACCAGGACCATAGTGCTACGTATAACATCAACACAGGATTATGTAAAGTACAAGTGTGCAAAAAGTGCAGACACTGCAAAAACAGTGCGACACGAGAAGAAATGATAACGGATAAATGTTGGAGGAGCATTCGCCTAATGTCGGGTCACAGCCTGTGCTGGGACATGCAAGAGACGAGGTGTCAGAGGAGGGCAGAACATCTGACGCACATGCATACTGCACACAGAACAGAGAAGGGATCTGAACCCACAACCCATTAGCAGTGAGGCCACAGCTCTGAGCTAATTCTCCTCCATGCTAGTCAGCCACCCTTTAGTCCGCCCCCCTGGTGCCTGTCAGCCCAGCCAGGGCCCCGTCAGCTGCGTCGGCCGGCTGGCCTGAGAGTGTGAATCAAACGGTCGTGGGTGTCATTGGCCGTTAACATGCTCTAATCTTTCCTAACATAGTGCAGATATCTCCAGATGACTCATTTGTCCTGTTACTGAGTTGCGTTCATCAGAGCTGAGTGAGGATGATGCGATCCCAGTCTGAGAGGACTGGCTGCACTCGTACCCCGTGACAGTATTACCCCCTATATTTCTGTAAAACCAAAACAGACTTTCAAATTTGCACAACCTCTGCAAATGCTGTACATATTAACCACCACCAGAAACACTTCAGATGATTTTCCTTGATCTCCCATAGATTTAATTAGTTCAGCTAACCTCTTGTTTAGATAAGTAGTGATATATTAGAATTTCCCTCCTCAACACTGTGTGCGGTTTTTAAGCTTGTTTATCAATATCAGTATAATGAGGTACAAAATAACGCACTACGGTAAATGGCTGTTCCGCAAACGGCATATGTGCATTCAAAGTGCACTTAGCATAATATTATTTGTTTATTTAAATTTGTTGCCATTAGTTTATTTCATATTTTTTTCTTTACGCTTTCATTGTTCATTTTTACTTACGTTTATCCGTTTGTATAATCAGGCATTGTGTAGGACCACTATTCTAGTATACTGTATAAATGATGTAATGATAAGCATCGCCGTATAATCTAGATAAATGCCTAGGGCGACTGTGTTGTGAAAGGCAATATATATATATAAATAAACACGGTTCTATGTTATCTTAAAGCGGTTGTGCACACGGCGCTGCATATCTGCACATCTCTCCGTGCGAATTCCAGCCCTGAAAAGCGCAGCTCTCCGCAGACTTATGCTACGTTCACACCGCGAGCGTCAAAGACGCCAGCCGTCGCTCCCGCCGCCCTGAACGCGACGCTAGCCAACGCCGGAGACGCTCTCTGGCGTCATAGAGTGGGCGGGGACAAGGCCGCTCAGAATGCCAGGCTCTGAGAACTTTTGAGAAACGTGTAGCTTATATCTTTGCACCGACTCCT